AGAAGAATATTGTCAACCTACTGAACTGATGGCATACAACGGAGAAGGTTCACAACATCAACATCCAGTCAATCATGTACCTGCTGTCCATGTACCTACAACTGAAAAGTCTGAAAAATTTAACGGGCTTGACTTTAAGAAGGTTGGGCCAAAGTTTTTAAAAATCAACATATTTTTTATAAATATATTTAAAAATATATTTTTAAAAAATATATTTGCCCGTGATCAACATATCGTCTACATATAGACATACAATTACAAATGTATGTCTATATGTAGAAATAAATTTTAAAAATACCTTTCTTTGCATTTTTAAAAATATTAAAAATATTTTAAAAATAAATTTTAAAGGATCGGGTCAATCACTTTGGTGATTTCTTGATCCTCAAAAGGAAATAGTCATTCCAGCTCCCATACAGTTTCAAGATACAATTGAGGAGCCTGTTCATTTTGAACCCGAACCTCAACATGTACCTATAGAGCAAACTCAACAAACTCAAGAACATATAGTTCAAGAGCCAACGCATTTGCGGAGATCCACTAGAGAACGTAGAAATGCCATTCCGGATGATTATTTGGTACTTCTTCAAGAAAATGAGAGTGTGGATGGCTTGAATGAGGATGATCCAATCAACCTCAAACAAGTCATGAAGGATCCCAACTCAAATAAATGGATCGAAGCGATGCGTGAAGAGTATAAGTCAATGCAAGACAATAAGGTTTGAGAACTTGTCCCATTGCCAGAAGGTGCAAAACCCGTTGGTTGCAAATGGATTTTTAAAACCAAACGAGATGCAAATGGCAATATGGAGAGGTATAAAGCACGTCTTGTGGCTAAAGGCTATACTAAAAGGGAAAGGATTGACTATTATGAGACCTTTTCTCCGGTATCCTCGAAGGACTCTTTTAGAACAATCATGGCTCTAGTGGCACATTTTGATTTGGAGTTTCATCAGATGGATGTAAAGACGGCATTTCTCAATGGTGACATTGATGAGACGATCTATATGGTACAACCAGAAAGCTTTGAGGTCGATGACCCGAAGAAAATAGTTTGTAAATTAAGAAAATCCATCTATGGGCTCAAACAAGCGCCTCGACAGTGGTATCACAAATTTCATCAAATAATTATCTTGTATGGTTTTGAGATGAATGTTGTTGATGATTGCGTTTATCACAAGTACAGTGGGAGTAAATTTATTTTTCTAGTTTGTATGTGGATGACATTCTGCTTGCCACAAACGATATGTGCATGTTGCACGAAACTAAGAAATTTCTTTCGAATAATTTTGAAATGAAAGATCTTGGTGAAGCGTCTTTTGTATTAGGAATCCAGATACACAGGGAGCGATCTCGAGGTATTCTAGGGTTATTACAAAAGAGCTATATCGATAAAGTGCTTGAGCGTTTGGGCATGCAGAACTGCAAACTAGAAAATACCCCTGTGGCTAAATGAGACAAATTTAGCCTAAGTAAATGCCCAAAAGGAAATTTGAAAATCCAAAAAATGCAAAAGGTCCTTACGCCTTGGCGGTTGGGAGCCTAATGTATGCTCAAGTATGTACGCGTCTGAATATTGCGTATATAGTTGGTGTGTTGGGTAGATACCTTAGTAATCCTGGATTGGATTAATGGAAAGCAGCCAAAAGGGTGATGAGATACCTTAAGAGAACTAAGGATTATATGCTCACATATAGGAGATCAGACCATTTGGAGATCGTTGGATATTCTGACTCCGATTTTGCGGGGTGCCAAGACAGCAGAAAATCTACGTCTGGGTAGAAAAAAACCCACAACCCCGTGGGGTTAGTTCCTAAAGGCCCTAGCGAATTCTTAATTGTACTTATTTATGCTGGCTGGTGGTGCCATTTCCTGGCGTAATGCTAAACAAACACTTGTTACTACTTCCACTATGGAAGCTGAGTTTGTGGCGTGTTTTGAGGCATCACAACAGGGAATTTGGTTAAGGAATTTTGTCACAAGGCTGCGAATCATTCCGGAGGTTGAAAGACCTATTAAGATTTTTTGTGACAATAAATCAGTTGTTCTGTACTCCAACAACAATAGAAGCTCATCTAAGTCAAAACATATTGACATTAAGTTCCTAGCTGTGAAGGAGAGGGTACAAAGTGGTCAAATTTTCATCGAACATTTAGGGACAAAATATATGTTAGCAGATCCCCTAACTAAAGGTGTAACACCTATGGTATTTTACGAGCATACTGCTCATATGGGTGTGTTACATATTCAGGAAGTTTCACTCTAGTGGGAGTATTTGCTACATATTTTTGTCATTTTTATTTGATGATATGTAAAGTACTTATTCTGATCAGAAATAAAGTTTTGGTTCATGTCACTTTGTACATTATGTTTTGGTACTTAACGATCTCATAAGGTTTGGACTAGCTGAAAATTGACATGTGCTGATCACATTCATGTAATTTTCATGCCACATGTTCCACAATTTGGTCTATGTCATTTAATCATGGTGATATATGTGATTATTGACAGTTTAGTTGTGTCTATACAGCGAAAACTGCTTTAGTCCTATATTATTGTGATTAATGGACCAGATTGTTTAAGTTCTGTAATAATGACCATATTTTCAGCTCATAAAGGTATAATGTATTATCAGGACACATATTTAATCCAGTGGGAGATTGTTAGATCTATTTGAGATTAAATATGTGTAATTAATACATTGGGTCATTATATTGTTTAGCCAAATAAAGTGATCAAATTATTGTACATTGGCTAAAGAACTTAATTTAGATTGTGAAATGATTAAATGTGGACACCCGGTAATATTATTATTTGGTGACGTAACAAATAATAATATTAAACTTAAGGACCTAAATAACATATAATTTGGGTCAAAATTATTTATGGGTGGAGTCCCCAAAAACCGTGAAAACAAAGTGATGCCCATTAGGATACCCCATAAAGAATAATATATATATGAAATTATGATTAATCAATATTGATGCCCATTAGGATGCCCATTATTTGGTGGTTTAGCAGTAGTTGGTATTAGGTTGCCGATACCTTCTACCATTCATTATGAAATTATGATTAATCAATATAAAAAGGCATAAGGGGGGGCATAATCAAAGTGCAGAAGAAGTTTTACACTTCAAAAGCTTCATTCAGTTTTCTTTCCTTTATACGTCCGAGGAAGAAAATAAGGATCACGGTCTTTTGGAAGATTTTCCAAATCCCAAATTTAATTAATCAGTCAACATGAATTCATCAGGTACGCTTCCGCTATTCGGTTATGATTCTCGATTATTCAATATGAAAGCTCTTGGAATTAATATCGATTTATTTCGAATAAAGTTAAATACATTTTCTATCAATTAAAAATATTAATTTTTATAAAAATAAAAATTTATTTTTATTTTTATTTTTATTTTGTAAAAATAAAGTTTTATAAAAATAAAGGTTTTTATAAAAATAAAATCCAGAGGTATCTGTTGGTACCACGATTGAGTCAAGGAAATCAACATGGCATTCATCATTTCTTTTAAAGTTCGGTTTTTGCGTTGAGCAACACCGTTCGACTGTGGAGAATAATGTTCGCAAAATAATTTTACTACCCGCAAGTGTACGGAGTAGCTGCAGAAAGCGGC